ATTGATTGGGGTCAGAGTAAGTGTCACAGCATATTACATGTCATTTTGTCACTGACCTCGAGCGAATATCAGCGAATATGGCACCACTTGTTATTAGCGAAGGCACTAAACTATGGATTTATGAAGGATGGCAGGTTCATACTCGAAAAGCGCCGGCTGTTGCCGGCGACATACCTTGCGACTGACTGGTAAAATCGTTCGTTGCAAGGTAATATATATATATATATCGATTATGAAGGTTGCTTCGAGGTTATTCGACTAGCGAGTAACCTGTAATGCTGTGATGGAACATGGAAAGTACACGATGAAGCTGGTAAATATAGGATTGGTACAGCGATAGAATGACAGGGATTCGAATTTCGAAAACGGCTTACATTGGCATGGGGGAGCCAGTAAGTTGTTCGAACATGTAATTGTCGTGTTCAGTCTTGATTAGCGTGAGGTCGACTACTGAATCTGGCCACCCAATATTGGTGGATAATCGCATCGGATACTTCACTTCTCCTTCCTTGCCGGCCCAATCGAAGTCGAGGATCTTGAGGGGAGTATGGGAATTGTCGGTCACTATGATGTTTGGTAAACGAAGATCACCGTGGACCAGTTCTTCCTTGTGGAGAAGCTCGACTGCACGAACTAGTGTCTTTTGATGTGTTGCACAGTCTGCATGAGTCGCAATACGACCCGTAATGTATTCCATTACGACCATTTTGCGTGGCCCGCAACCTGTATTCGCTATTGGATTGTCTTGCCATATGTCACCGTAGTAGTACAATTTCGGTGCGAGACCCTCTTTGGCCAATAGGTCATGTGCGTTCCTGCCATATCTCTCGACAAATTTGACGACTATTCGTGTGTCTGTGGCAGGGGCTTGGTTTTCTTCGTCGAAGATTAGATCTGTATGATCCAGTGTAGCCAAAAAAACCAAGCATGACGCAGCGGGTGACTTGAGATATGACTTATATGTGAAGGAGAACTTCTTATCGCAGTAAGTGAAAGAAGTCGCTAGCGGGTAGAATCGGTTTTCGAAATCGAGGATAGTCGTTTGTCGGTATCGTTCTCGGAGAGATCGTAAAGCTTCTCGCAAGGCAGCAAAGATACGTGTGATGGGTTCGATGTCAAAGTCGCTGATCAATGGGGGAGGAGCGAGCCAGCAGAAGCCTTTGAGGAGAGGTTGAACGATTATATCGCTCATCCAAATTGCACCGCTGATAGACATATATGGTCCTACGAAGCTGATGAGGAAAGTGGGACTGAAGCTACGATCGAGAAGAAACTGCGAATATTTGTTAGACAGAAGTAAGAGAGCAATGTAATAGATAATGTGTGGGAGACGTACCTGACGTTTTCCCCAGTATACGCGGTAATAAAATTGAGCTTGGACAATGGCATTTCCGCTTTTCCCCAATTCAGTCTTCTCTTCGATTATTCCAAGTGCAGCCATCAGTGATCCCGGGTTCATTTCAGATTCCGTATCCATATCGCACATATAAGGGATGATATGATCAGCGTCTGCGTCATGGATGTCGGCAGTAATGCTTTCAATTGGAATACGAAGTATCTGTCTGAGTTGATCGTGGTTACGTTTAGAGTGGTCCGTTTTAAAATTGCGTATATGTGACGCATTCAACATGAACTCCAACGTGTCCTTCCGCATCTTATCATCCACTAGGTTCGAGTGATCAAGGTTTGCGATGAAGGTTGCGAAGACAGGATCGTATACCACGATCGGTGCTGCGACAGTCAGTACGTGACCAATAGAAGCGTAGCGGCCATCAAGGAAGGGTGCATTTCCGTTTTGGAACGTTATGTAGTTCTTCGTGAGTGCAGCAACGGATGGGCTGGGAACATCATTGATATTTTCTTTCGTCTCTCTGTATCCTATAGAACAGACGTT